AATATATATAATATTTTGATGATAATTTAAATTATGTTTCTTAATGAAAAATAATTCTTATATTATTAAAATAATAATTAACTTTTGTTAATATATTGATTATAATTGACTATTATTAAAAATATGACACGGCGAGAGTAACGCGACTTAATATTATTATACAGCGGTACTCGATAGTTACTGCCACAATCGAGGGTGACAATATCTATTTTTTTTTTTAGTCACATTTTCTTTGCACTTTCTTTCATTTGCACTTTCGAAAGTCCAAATTTATATTAATTTTGTTTCAAAAGAAAAAAAGTGCATCTCGATTAACGGACGCATAATTACAGTTTTGGATACATTACAGTTGGATACATTAAATTATGAGATACAAGCAATGTTAAAAGAAGCAGGTCACATCCCTTTCTCATTGCGCACAACAAGAGGGAAACATAAAAAAGCGGGGTATATACAAATTAATCTTTTAGAATATTTAAATACAGACGCTTTCTCGTTACTCGCATGTACATCCAGAAGATTATTTGGAATAACATTACAATAGAACAGTCGGCAATTATCTTACACACTTTTTCCATGACACAAAGGTAATTTCCTTTGATATCTCAGAAACAAGTATATCGGACGAGATGCACACGAATCGCGAATATTAAAAAATATAGAAAAGAAATATTTGTATGTCAATATTGTATACATACATTTAAAACGTGGAAGAGAAAAGTCCCAATTCTCCCTAAAGCTTCTGTTTTTCATTTATTTTTCTATTGTCCTAAAGATCTAATATATGCTACACGTCATTCGGTGAACACTAGTAGGTCACTGGCCAACTTTATGTCTTTCGCCTACAACGACGTCTTTTGTTCTACGTATTAAATATATGCATTTCTCTCGAAACGGTGACTCCATCCCCACGGTCGTACATTAACTATCTTTAACACTCGTATAACCGGAATCCACAACGACGATCCATAAAAAAAAGTTTCGAGAGACAAGGCGACGTCTCGATAATTAATCAACACCTAAGTTTTATAGCTCCAAAGTCTTTAAAACATGACATTCGTTGACGTTGAACGCTTAAGTTTGTCTTTAAGGATTCACTCTACATTTTGCACGAATTCTTTTGCTTCGAATCTCAGTTGTAGATCATTTTCGATGGTAACACGTAGAAGGACAGTGAATAAAGCACCGATGCGTACCAATGGATACCCTCTTGCTCTCCTCTCATTGTCGATTCTGTTCTGGATACATCGTTATGTCTTGTCGCAAAGTGTTTTACGTCGTCCAACCTTTGCAGGAAAAAGGATGTCACGCTATGCCAAATCCTTAACGGTAGGAAGGAGTAATGTGCTAGCGACTGACTGTTGACAATGGCGTAGCAGGATGCGACGACGTCGTCTACGAAGAGATTACCTTCCATCGTAAGCGGAGCGTAAACTCCTTCCTCGATGACCAATTTCGTTTCGTTGACACTGTCCCATCGCAAACGATTATCCACTTCGTTCTTCGCGCTCGCTACATCGGCGTCGCTCACGAGGATCTTATCGCCGGGTTGCACGTTGGCGGCAAACACTGAACCACTCTCCATTGGCACCAAATGCGCTGGCGTTAACGTGAGCACTCGGCCAGACTTGGTCGTCAATCGGATGAACTGTCTCCTCTCGGATGGAGAACGATCCAAGAAAGCGATCACCTCGCTGTACACCACGTCGCCACGGGAGTCCACAGCGGCGATACGGTCGCCGAGACGCACATCGTCCAACCTCTTCGTACTACCATCCTCCGTTCGGACCAGACTCCTCCCGGGAAAGCAACCACCAGATTTACCCGCTGAAGATGATTCTGAAAGCGAAGAATGCATAGAGAATTAAGATAATGAAATAAATAAGAAGAAAAAATATTAAAAGAATGAATATTAAAATAAAAATGTTGATATTTTTTTTAAATACGTACTCTAAAAAGCTAAACAAAGTTATTATAAAAATCCTATTCATAGAAAACTACAATAAACTACAATAAAACTACAGATGTAGAAAAAAATTTGTAAATATTAACATTTAAAAAAAATTGAATGTCTTTTAATGTAATTTTTTGGGATGCATTATATGTTAAGATTACGGTGCAAAAAGAATGTGTCATCGCAGTATTCTCACAATCGTCTGTCGATTAATTAACGTTAATATGATGAAAATTGACGAAGCGTTAAACACGCATGGATCGCATTCACACTTTTTGTTGCACTTTGACTTCCCTTCACCCTATTGTTTCCCTTTTCGATCCCCTCAACATCGACTCGTATCGGTTTCGCGCCAATTTCTATGCTCGGATTTAATTCGGATCGACAGGCATGCCTTGATTTATCGGCATTTATTTTGAAATTCGAGACCAACCGTGGCCTGGAACGAACACAAATCGTTGATTGCTCTCGTATAGGTAAATATCGCTAGATCGAAAAAGAAAATAAATATGCCAGAAGATTCTCATAATTAAGAATTATTTCACTCTGAGGAATAATTTTCGTTTCTTGAAACATAAAAAAGTCTTAAAAATATTTTTTGTAGTATTAAATTATATATTTAATTATATTTTGTAGTATTAAATTATATATTATAACGATGCTATGATATAATTAAATTAAAGACTCTATATATATATACATATATATAACAGAATCTGATCACGAGGTGACAAATTTTTGATTCGCATCGTTTTTATCAACTTTAGTAAATTAAAATAAGATTATAGGATGTATAAAAAGAGATATTATATATACTCATTTTTCTCATTTTTGTTTTGACAAAATTGCTCGTGGAATCGCCAAATTCTCTTATAGAATCTCTAAATATACTGCAGGAGTCATCTTTTGGTGTATTTAGAAATTTCTTCCATTGTTTTATTGTTTAGCATATATGACAGAAATATAATATATTCTTTTCATAATCTGAGATTTATAATTTCTTGAAAATTGTTTTTCGTTAATGAAGCAACAAAGAAAACTGATGAATTATATTGCTTTTTACTTATGTTATTTGAGAGTTTTCAAAAAAATTTGGTGATTCACATCTCAATTCGAATCGAATTGAATTCGATTTGAAGCTAATAATAACATTCATATAATTTCTTTAAAATCTAATAAAATATCTGAAATTGTGAAAGTATTCGAGATATTTCAGATAAAAATATTCAAGTTGTTTAATTAATCGATTATTCGAACTTGAATTGAATTTGATAGAAATAATCGGATTTAATCTGAGTTCGCGAATATTCGCATTAATATTATCGCGTATCGCATGAATTTTCAATGAATGAGAGAAAAATGAAGAGTCGGTAAAATAGACATCTTTAGAAATTACGAATAAAGTAGTGGCGCCAATTTTCACAAAAGAATAGACAAATACATAATATTCATTTATTACAATTAGATGTTTGTTAAAAAAATTAATCTAATTTGTGTATTTGATACAATGATCCTATAGTTATTATAAAATGCTCCTATAGTTATTATAAGATGATTATTATAAGATTTGGAGGGGCGCTACTAGTGATATTTGTGTCATTGTCTTCATTGTTTATTAAACAAGGACAAAAAAACATCTATAATAATATCAACAATGTTGAACGATTTTATATCGCCGTATAGGTAATACGTGCACTTAAGGCGCCAAGTCACTTTGTCATTCGCGATTTAAGAACAGAGCGATTTTAGTATCCTTGTTCCATTAAACGACGTTATTATACAACTGCACCAACCTCAGCATCTTTATTGCATAAAATGACATCATTACAACTACTATCCGGTAGTTTATTCGCTCATCTTTATTGACATGGCGTTTATGCGAGTATTAAAGCGAAATGACCGCAATTAAAATCCACATGAGGTCCGCGGATTAACCGCTTTTAATGCTCTCGCTCTCTTCGAAACGACAAGACAATTCGATCGCAATTTGCACATTCTTTTGCATTTCATTTGATAATACGTTTTAAAATACGATATGATGGAAATTACTAACCAGACTTGACGGAGCAATGTATGTGCGACCTGGACTCATAGTAAACCCAGTCGAAACCTGCCTCGACAGCGAGTCTCGCCAACATCCCGTACTTGGAGCGATCGCGATCGCTCGTCGTCACGTCGACGGCACGTCCCTCGTAGTGCAGGGAATCTGTCGCATGCATGCCTTCCTCGTCCCAACCTTCGACAACTCGCAGTTTCACTCCGGGCCACTGGTTCATCACCGAGATCGCCAAAGTGTTAAGTTTCTCCTTGCACCTCTGTAATATTACATTTCAAGATTGGCAATAGATTGGTAGACTGTCATTAGTCTAAGGATAGAAACAGCAATTATAATCATTTTTTTTAATGTAAATGTATATGGCTTAAGTTAATCTTGAACATTTAATAACCGGATTTACAATACATTTGGTTATTTAGACAATATGGTGGACATAAAGAAACATTATATTATCTAAGTTTATTTTAATGCTATAAGCTCACAAAATCTGACATGTTGAAATGTATTTTTAGGGATTTAAAGTATTGCTCTAGACTTTTTACATATTTCTCTTAGCTTTCAGAGGACTTTTTCTGGTATTATTTAGAATTTAAGTTAAGTATACATTCGGAAATTTAAGATTAGAACTGGTTTTCATTTTTCTCAGCGAGAAACTCTTTCATCTCAAATCACTTTTCCGGTTAGTTCCACTTAATACGATTTCCGTACGATTTGAAAACATCGTGCAGGACGGTCCGCCTTGGCTCGGTCCAAACCCGGGAATTCAGCCGATTTCATGGTGCACGCGGAAAAAGGGGGGCTTTCTTCGTGACCAGTGGCGTCAGGTACAGAGCAATCGTTCCGTCGCGAGAATCGCCGGTTAGGAAAATGAATGCGTATTTTGACCGGTTATAAGATCGGTCCGGGATCTTTAAGAGACTTTAACGGACTCAGATCCGTGGCGAATCAGCGGGCAAACAGGAATATAAATACGGCCGATGTCGAGGATCATTCAGTCACGCCGAGTCGCTTCCTCTCTTCTTGCCTGGAATCACCTCTCTCTCTCTCTCTCTCTCTCTCTCTCTCTCTCTCTCTCTCTCTCTCTCTCTCTTATTGTCTACTTTTACGTCGACGACGACGACAGTCAGGCGGTGCTCCAGTGAGTCAATAGGGTATGCGTTCTCGTAACGAAGCATGGATAGCCGACTCAGTGAGACAGGGGCCCCAATAGCACAGGACCCATGTAAACCCAGGCTTAATCCGGAACGCGGCGTATCGAGGGCGCGAGAAGCCAAATGCAAGGGAGTCCCCATTGACCGAAGCCGCGGCATTGTCGAAGAGCATTCGAAGCGTCCGAGGTCCGTGTTCAAATTGATTCTCAGAGGGCAATCGCCCACGCAGAGCAGTATCATGCGGCTGACTGATCAGGACACAGACAAACCCGCTTGTGCGTGAACGCACTCGGTGTAAATCGAGCAGATTCTCTTCCCCGAAGTTACCAAAGGAGTTCCTTTTGCACTTTTTATTCCCAACCGAGTGTGCGGAAGAAAGTAATTTTCGGGAGAGGGCACAATTGACTCTTGGAGGAGTAAGGGAGAGGGAGGTAAAGGGAATCGGAAGCCTTCGTGAAGAATCCATCCGTCGTGAGGAGCCTGTCGATCGCGAAAACGCGCTGCGGCCGCGACGAATTTTACACACTCCGGCGGAGTTACCATCTCACCCCTTTTTATTCTCAGTGGTATTTCAATGGCGGTAACTCGATGGTGTGCGTTGAACACGAAGCAGATCGGTCTCGCGATCCACGCGGCCACAATGAGACCCGTTCGACATTAACCGAGAATGGAACGGAGCTAACAATGTCCACGAATTTGCAGCTTTCCTTGCGGCAATTAGCCCCTATTGAGTGCAGACGACGGCCCTTTCGTCCCCCTCGGGGGACCGGTCCCACCTTTCCTTCTCCACCTCTTCTTGCCTCCTTTTTATTTCCTCGTGCTCATGGACTTGGATCCTCTCGCCGCACCGATGGAAACCTTCACGCCACGTGCACGCGATTGCCGCAAGTGAATTGCACGGCTGTCGGATGAATTTCTATTAAAATCCCTGAGATTCAAATGAACTTTTGCGAACGGCATATCTAAAACTGATCCGCTGAATAGATGCCCTTTAATTCTCTCCCTCGTGTGTAATACATTTCGCGAAATTTATAACCGAAGTTGATGGTTCAGCTAGAAATATCTAATAATATAGTCAATCGACTTGGCATATTTCCGGCAGAAATGAAGGATCACCGTTATGCTTCGCTTGGAAAAATCCATTTAAAATGAATCGATCATTTTATGGTGATTGAAATAAGACATTTTTACCTCATAATGTCGCTTCCGTGTAAAGATATTATAAACAATATAATGTCGCTTCCGTGTAAAGATATCGAACAAATTATAAACAATATAAATATAGGATGTATATGCAAGAATGTGTATTCTGATTTCACCTGTTACCAAAATATTGAATACATATTCTTGATATAAAGATTATAATCAAAAATCGATCCTCGAAAATTTTCTCATGCATCTTTGGCTTTCGTGTAGTCCTTGCACTGCACGATGAGAACCGAGGTAATAGAGTATGAGAATGACGACGGAGTCAAGAAGAAGAAGAAGACGAAGACGAAGAAGAAGAAGATGGAGGAGGGGGAGGTATAAAAGGCTATGAAGGAGTCTCATATAAAGAGAGGGAAGAATGGTGAAGGGCCCAAGAGATATATCGGCCGTAGTGCGCTATGGGGAGCCTTGTTCGCACAGCAGGGTACCCCCTGGGCCCCTCCCAGACTTTACATCTATTTACAAATATTTTGGCGGAGTTGAAGAGATACAGGATATGATGGAGTGAGAAGGAGTGCGCGCGGTCGGCCAAAGCCGAGAATGTCTTATGAAAATCCATTTCGAGTAAAAAATGACCCGGTCCGTAATACATTAGGGATAAGGAGCGTTGCGCGAAGGTGTGAGGGTGGGGGAGGAAGAAAAGAATTACGGGGCGGAAATCGAAAAAAGTTTAGCCGAGTGTTTGTACGCGCGCTGAACGCTCCCGAAAACGACTGTTCGTGTGAAACGCAAAAGGGAAGCCGCGGCTTTAGTTCACAGAAAGGACCTTAATGGAATTGGGCCAATCCCAATTTCTGTAAGAGGTATGAGGATGAAAGTTTCCTGGAAATCGTTTGAAGGAGCATCGTCATTCGGAATATCGCTCGGCCACTTATTATAATGGTTCTCGATCTAATCGGAAAATAAAACAACGGCTAACAATGTGGCAAATTTTGTTGTTGTACTATAAAATAATGTGTGTAATGAAACACATCTTGTTATTTGTAAAAGTTTATCGATACTTTTTAGTTCTTTTAGTTTCTTACGAAGGTAAGTTAGATCCAATTAATTTTTATAAGCAAATAAAAGGTTTGCACACACACACACGCACATACATACACGCACACACACATATGTGATGTTATAAATAGTGAGCTGCCAGTAGCTGAGAAACCAGTCAGGTTGATGGGAGATGATGAGTCGCATCATGTGAAGGGTGCTCTCTTCGTGTTCTGACTCGATGTTATTTTATCTCTCCTTCATCACTTGGTCCCGATAGCTACTAATTACGAAGCGCATGTCGCTTACACCTCGTTTACATATTTCGTATCTTATCGCTTAAACGTATGGGTAAACTCGTGTTAACTCGCGCGTCCGCGATTTCGCTCGCGTGCATGCGTTCTGTGATATATAATCAACGTAGCGACATTAAAGCGATATTAATTTCCCTGTTTTGGCATGATACTAATTGCCCTCAGTGCATATTACGGCTTGTTAAATAAATCCCAGATAACGTCCGCAAAATTGTCGAGCCATTGCCGAGAACAAAGAAATGGGACGTCGAGACAAACGACGTCGGAGTGTTGCCGAACAGTTGGAGACGCTGGCAAAGGGTGTGGAGGTCAAGGAGCAAAAGGAGGATGAAAAGAAAGAGGATGAAAAGATGGAAGTGGAAAAGAAGGAGGATAGAGAAATGTGAAGAAGAGAAGCACGTTAAAGTAGAAGAAACGGCGGGAGCAAAGGAAGGAACCCGAAGATGGGCCACGTACTGCTGTCTCGAAAGGGGGTTGGGTCTGGTTGGATCCGAGATGAAGGAAGATGGTGTACGAAGCAGGACTGGGCTCCATACCAGCATCCACAGACGGAGCCCCGCCCCCACCGGTTTCTTCTCCGTTTCTTCTCCACCTCCGGGCCCGCTCTGGCTTTACCTTCCCGCGGCCAGGCCAACCTTTTATTCCAATCTTCTTGTTTTAACGTGCTCGTTGCTTTACCCCCTCCTCTCTCGCGATCCACCACCCTTCACCTCTTTCCCGACATTCCCGCCGTCCGCATGCCGGCCGCATTCGAGGGCCTCGGGAGTGGGTCCCCAATGTTCCATTCACCGTGCAACAAAACGAACCGCCCAGGCGTCAGCTGATCTTCCAGGAAGCCACTTCCGCCTCGACGGTAACCCTCGTGACACCCACACGGTCGACGTCGTGTCTGTACTTTTATCAATTCCGCTGATCGCCAAGGATTTAAATTCTCAGACAGTGAGAGGAGTCCGCAGCGCGCGCGGACAGTTTTAAATCCTTTTATGGATACTTTTAAGATTAACTATACATCAAAGCAACCATTTTTTGCTTCCAGATTTTTATGAAAATTCTTACAGCCCAATTCCTCTTTCTCTTTATATTATTGGTTCGTCTCGATTAATCGACGACTATAAAGGGACTATCGAAATGAGACGCGATCGGTACACGAAGGACAATGGCCCGGGACCAAAGAGATGACACGGCAACAATGGTAGTCGTGCTTTCAGAGAGAATCGTGCGAGGTGCATCGAGTGTTTGTCGAGCTCTCTAGATGGTTCCAGCAGTAACGACTGAAGAGCAATCCCTGCGCCGGAACGACCTATCTCACGCTTCTCTTCATCTCTTCCTCCTTCATCTTTATTCTGATTTCTTTCGCCTCGTAGCTGTTCATTTGTATGCCATACGAATCTTTGTTTTAGCAGTTCGTCAAACAACGAATATCTCCTCGAGTTTAACTCCACGAAGATTGTGAATTGAAAATTCAATCCACAGTGGTTAATTTTTTTTCAGGCTATTAGTCAAAGCAAATTTTATTAAGCGCAGCTTATTCATATGGAAAATAAAAGTGTCAAAATATATATGTATTTAATATTTCTAAATTCTTTATAGAAAATTTATAATCTAAA